CTCACCCCCTGAGGTGGGCTAGACTCAGTAACTCACCTCTAATGAATACAATGTGATGAAAGTGATGGTATGTGACTTCTAAGACCAGGTCTAAATAAGGTATTGTTCACTCTCTCCTGAATCATTCACTCTGGGGGAGGATAGCTGCCATGTCATGAGGATGCTCAAGCAGCCTTGTGGAGAAACTTCATGAGGAAAGGAATTCAGTCCTCCTGCCCATAGCCATGAGAGTGGACTGCCTTAAAAACAGAGCCTTGAACCCCAATCAAGCCTTCAGATGAGTACAGCCCCAGCCAACATCTTGACTTTAACCTCATGAGACACTCTGAGCCAGAAACACTCAGCTAAGCTGCCTCAATTTCTGACTCTCAGAAACTGTGACATAATAAAATGCTATTTTAAGCTGATACATTTAAGAGGTAATTTGCTATACAGCAATAAATAACTAAGACAGCAGACAATGAAATAAGAGGCACTTATAAAAATCAGTCTTAACTTACAGTGACATCTGGTGTCCTTATCTAGCTGCTTCCTTGACATAGTCACTTGGATGTCTCACACATATCTCAAAGACACATGATGACCTCCAAACTTATTCCCTTAGAATTCATCTTTCCCTGGGCCTCAGGACTGCATCACTGTCTGCAGGTCACTCCTTTTGCTTTCTATTTCCTTACTCTGCCCACCCACTATGCAGATATGCACATGTACACACTTACACACACTCACATACACACATTCATCTGCTCATCTAATTATCTATCACCTAGGTCTTAAAGGACATGCACTTCTCACCACCAACTAGTGTCACATCTTGCCTCAGTTGTGCGAAAGTCTCCTTATTTGTGTCCTGGCTTCCCACTCACTCACATCCAATCCACTTTCCACTCAACAGTGAGAGCCATTTTCCAACAAAACTAGATCATGCTGCCACAGGGCACAATTGCTCCCCAGACTTAGCTTTGTAATGATAGTGAGATCTCAGCTGTCCACAGGGGCAATGAGCCCCTGGCATGATCTGTCCTCAGCCTGATCTGTCCCATTCCTGTCTCACCTCTACCTCTCTCCTCCTCACTGTGATTTTACCTTGTGCTTCTTCCCACTCAGAGCTCAGTCCATGCTGCCCCCTAAATCTAGAGCACTCTTTCCCATTCACATGGCTTCTCCCGCCCCTCTGCAGCCTCTGAACTCAGCTTAAATGTTTTTGCCTCAGTCTGGCCTTCCCAGGCTCTCCCTCCAAAGTGGGTTCTCTTGTTACTTTTTCTCTCTCCTGATTATTTACATTACAGCATTTAATGGAAGTTAAATATATGATTGCTTAATTATATTTTATATGTCCATGAATAGAGCCACATTTTTACTGACAGGAATAGCTACTGGGAAGTTCCCAGAAGCCTGGCCCCCATCAATTCAGCAGCCACCAGCCACTGAGCAGGTCACACAGTAGCAAATGCAGTGCCTATCACCTCGCACAAGCTCCCGCACAGAGAGGCATGCCACAGCCATCAAATGAGGAGGTTTGAGTCCTGCGAGGGCTGCAGATACCAGGCTGCTGCTTATGAACCTCAATGCACCATTTTATTTAGTGTGTGTTTCTGTTTTTCAATTGCTAGGAGTCCTAAATAACTAAATTTATGGGCAACCAAATGCAGAAAAATTAAGGTCTTAGCCATGGCACCCAAGTCCCAGTCTAGAGGGGAGAACATAGGTAGAAAGGGCTATATCTCAGCACAGCATGTTAACTAGACAACAGAGGCTAAGCCAACTGCTGTGAGGGGCAGAGGAGAGTCCCGCAGCAATGGTGAGGAAGGGAAATAAATGGTCATGCGTGTGGGTTTGGCTGGATAACTTCTGTGCCCTTCTCCCCCGCACAGTTATACCAGAATCACTTTACAGAACCATCTACTCTCCTGAGCCACAGGGTATGACTGGAAAATCCTGCCCCCTGGCACCAGAACACTAGTCTCCACTCAGAAGTCATATGCCAGGGAGAAGGGGGGCGCTTTATGGTGACCTAGTCATCTCCCTTCTTGTCAAATGACAGCCTGGACTGGGAGGCAGGAGGTGTAGAGTGGGTGCAGGGCTTCCATCTCAGATCATCTCATGAGAAGGATCTGGAGGAGTCCGGGAATAGGTGTTCTTCTGAAGGTGGGCAGAGGTGAGGGGAGAGAGATGGAGCTGGTGCCAGGAGTCACCGGACCAGCCATGAGGATAGAGGCCAGGCTCCCTCCTTCCCTTCGACCCCCCAAGACCCTCTTTCCCTTGGGCTGCCCAGTTCCAGGCCTTCCACGGCATGCTTCCAGGTGTGTCCTCACTGTGAACACCTCAATCATCAGCCTTGCCAGATTCAAGAGAACTGTAACCAATGTAATTGCTAGAGACACCAAAATGGGACAATAAAATGGCAGCCAAGCAGCTTCGATAACCGAAATTCCATTCTGTCCTCAAATAAGGCCACTGCCTGATCCCCAGAGTTGGATTAAGGTGTGAGACTTCTGATAGAAATAGTCAGGTAAGGGTGGGGCATCGTGGCTCACACCTATAATCCGAGCATTTTGGGACTCAGAGGAGGGAAGATTACTTGAAACCAAGAGTTTGAGACCAGCCTGGGCAAAACCAAGACCCTGCACAGAGAGGGGTGCCATGGCCATCTATTTTTTTCTACAAAGAGTAGAAAAATTAGCTGGGCATGGGGGCAGGTGCCTGTAGTCTCAGCTACTCAGAAGGCTGAACCAGAAGGATTGTTTGAGCCCAGGAGTTTGAGGCTACAATAAGCTATGATGATGTCACTGCGCTCTAGCCTGGGCAAAAGAATGAGACCCTGTCTTAAAATAAAAAGAGAAATGGGGTCGGTATGGGCTACATATTTGAGTCAGGTTAGTATAGACAGCCAAATTCTGAATTAAATATGTGCCACATGATTCGTTTCCCTGGGGACACCTGATTATTTTTATGGTAATTTGTTAAGCTAGAAAATCTAGGCTGGGAGATAGAAGGTCCAGATAGGATTAAGAGGACCACATCAGAGCCAGCCTTCCCTGGGCTGGAGCCCTGCCTACTGGCTTACTGTCCCTGAGAACGTGGCCTAATCTCTCTGAACCCCAGTGTTCTCCTGTGGACACAAGGTTAGAACACCAAGCTCAAGGGGTTAGCAAAAGGGGTTACTTGTGATCATTTGTGCCCAATGCTTAGTACCTGCTATCTAGCAAGGCTCAAAAAAAGTCAATTATTTTAAAGAAAAAAGAGAAATTAAGACAGGGTCATTGTCACCAATTACAGACAGGATAAGATAAAAACAAGAGGTCCGTTGAGCGTCTTAGGGTTTTTCTCCACCCTGCATGGTTAGCAGAGGTACTCTGGAAGAATAATAGTGAAACCCCCAGTTCCTGAATTCTGGGGGAGCTTAATCCAACAGAAAAGCCCGCAGCAAGGCTAAGCCACTTAAAGCCATTCGACTCTCTGGGTCTTCAATCACTTTCCACCCTCGGCTCCACCCCCACCCCACCTCCGCTCCGCCTACCCCCAACCCCACGCCAGAGGGGCGAGACTCTCTTCCAAGTCACTCATATTTTTCAGGGCACCAGAGGATACAAAAACAAAGTTGATTTATCTCCCCTGGACAGTGCTCTGGAC